TTTAAAAAGGAAAAAAATTTCCCCAAAAATTAATTTTTAAAGGAAGGCACACCTGTTAATTGAAAGCTTTTCCGGGTGCTATTCCCTCATAAACCGGGTTTGAAGAATGCCAAGTTGGGCAAAGCTGTCAAAATTTCCAAGGGTTCCCTTGGGGAAGAACTCAATAAAACCCTATTTTTGATTTGTTTAACATTTTTTTTTGGTTACAAAATATTCCATTGGTTTATTTCATATTTTTTATGTTTTCACTATTATTATACAATGTAAAAATTTAAAACAAAAAAAAAACCCTTGAAGGGGTGGGGTCCAAACTTTTGACGGTACTGTATTTTAAAAACCTTTCAAAAGCATTTAAACCTTTTTCCATTAGTTCCATGGGGGTTTTTTTGGGAAAACCCTTTTTTTGAAAAAGGGATTATAAAAATTTGGAAAAAGGAAACTATTTTGTACGTTTTTGGGGAAAAATCTACCCAAACTCATAACCTTTTGGGGTCGAAAATCATGTTCTAACCGGTTTGGGTGGGGGTCCTCCCTGCCCTATGTGGGGTCTTTCCCCGGTGGGGGGCCCGGGGGTTTCCCATCATCCCAATCCCCAAAGGTTTGAATTTTTTGGCCCCATCTAGGGAATAGGAAATTTTTTCCCTCCCTCTCTTGGTGACAAAAAATTTCCCCATCCGCGTTGAAATCCCCCAGGATCATGAGGGTTCTCCAGAGACACCCAATTGAAAACCAACAAAGTACTTCTTATTCCCCTTTTTTTTAGCAAAATCTATCAACAATTATATAAATGTTGTGAAAAAAAAAAAGGGGTGGGGCACTTTTTTTTAAGGTGCGGGGTTAGCCTTTTAATTTTGGGGAGTTTAAAAAAGTGTGTAATTATATGTATTTTAAATGGGGGGGGGGTTCCTGGGGGAAAAAGGGGAAAAAAAATAGGGGGTTAAACCCTTTTTTAACCCGGGGGGTTTTTCAAAATTTCAAAAAAAAGTAAAAGGTTCATGTTTTAAAAAACCTTTTTAAAATACCCTCATCGTTAGCCTTTTTTTTTAATTTTTTAAAAAAGTATTTTAAATAAAGGGGGGGCGAGTTACACAAAAAAAAGACTTTTTGGTAAAGGCCCCTAAATGTGGACTAAGGGCATACCCCCCGGGTAAATTTGTTTTCCCTTTCAAAAGTTTTTATCTTGGGTTTACATTTTAGAATAGGGACACATATTTGTACTATTTTTATTATCCTAACTGAGACAGTTTTCCTAAGAAATTTTTTTCCCGGGTGTAACTCGCTTTTTTTTTTTTTTTTTTTTATTAAATACTAATATGTCTTTATTAGGGCTTAAAAGGGGGTTTTTAAAAAGGGTTTTTTTCCCAGTAGCACATAAATTTTTGAAAAAGAAAACTTTTAAATTAAAGGGGTCAATATAGGGAAATAAGACACAATAAAGACCCTTTTATTTAAATTTATATACCCCCTTTAAATAAACTACAAATGTGGGGCTCCCTTTTTGAAACCCTTAAAAAAAAGTTCAGTGAACTTTAACTTTAAAAATAAAAGTGTGGGGCCCAGTTATTAAACCTACCTCAGTTTTCCCCTTTTTTTTCTTTTTCCTCCCTTTGACAACGCGTCCACCTCCTTTTTTCCTTCACGAGTTTCAGCTTGGTTTTCCCCGGGATAAAACCCCAAGGTCTTTCAGCCCTTGGAAATAAAAAAGCAATCATGTCATACCCCCGTAGGGAAAGGGCCGGGAACACAACCCCAAAGGTCTACTGGGGAACATTTTTGGGTGGGTCCCCCTAGAAAGGGGTTTAGGAGTTAAATCCTACCACATAACCTGATCAAAAAAAACGTGCATGCTTTTAACTAGGCCTAAAATTTCCCTTTTTTTCCAGGTCACTAGTCAGGGGAACTCAGGGCCCTAATAATAGGAACAAAAGAGGATGAAAAAATTTAAATGATACGTAGGGGAAAAAGGCTGACTAAAATTTACAACCGGTATTGAGACAGGTAAAACAGACCTCTAAAAAAAGGGCTTTTTACTATACTATTTACCACAGACTCTCCCCTCCCCTCTCCCTCCTCCCCCACCCTCTCCCCCCTCCCTCTCTCTCTCTCTCGCTATCAGATGCCTCCCTCTCCTCCAGCTGCGCAGCACAGTAATATTTATTTGTTTTGGTTAGCTATGATTCATTGATGATTTCTTAAGTTCACTAGTTCTGGCTACAATCATTTCTGTTTTGTCATATAATATATCACACTATATCAAGATATTAGAGCAGTAACCAGTCTGCCACCACACCCAGATTGTCTTTCTGAGCTGAGTGTGTAAACAGGTCCATCCGGCCCACAGTTCTGTGGTGACTCCTGGGAGAAACGGTTTCATCTCTCTCCAGCCTGCTGTAGTGCAGTACAGTATATGCACCACTGTCAACCACCAGAAGTGGGGTTAGAATACACTGTCAGAGGACAAACAGTTTCAAGCCCTGTAGCTGCAGTGGTTTCACACCATGTGTTGTCAGCCAGTTGGTATATTTTGTGAATTATTTCTATGTTGAAAATATATTTTGTAACGAAGATAAACAGACAACGTGGATTGGTTTACTTAGGAAAGGTTTATTGTAAAATATAGTGCAACTGAATGTTTCCTGCATAAAATATTGCATGCAGGTCTTTATTAAATAAAGCACTTGAAACATTTGAAAGCATTTGAACCAGAAACAGAGTTACAGATTTTGAATATAATGATTTATATAAATCATGTTTTGGCATGTCTTCTAGGCTTGGTCTGACTTCCCTATTAACTTTCTCACAAGTCTTTTCTTCTTCCGTGGTATTGGGTTGATACTGGGAGACTCTACTTCCTTTTCCTCTTTCTTCTGTGGTACAGTTCCAGCGGTCATCAGCTCCACCTCTACAGGGTAGTGGTCACTGATACTCAGAGCCTGCATCATTTGAGGGAGTAAAAGATTTATGAAGTAAGGGATTACCTAAAAACACTAAAAAGCCAACTCAATGGAGAATCTCAATTGAAAATGCTTTTAGTCCAAGACTCCAACAAATGGCTGAAAGATGAAATATGACATACCATAGCTTCAGATAAGTGAAAGGCTTTGTGGTAGTTGAAGGGCTTGGCTGAGTTGGGGACCATCGCCTCCAACATGTCAGCTCCGTACATCACAATCCTGATAGGATGCAAAGGAAACCAAAATATGACATGATATGTGTCTTCAGAGAACTGCTTGCAATTATGAACATATATACATTACCAGTCAAAGGTTTGGACACCCTTACTCACTCAAGGGTTTTTATTTATTTGTACTATTTTCTACATTGTAGAATAATAGTGAAGACATCAACATTTATGAAATAACACATATGGAATCATGTCGTAACCAAAAAAGTGTTAAATCAAAATATATTTTACATTTTAGATTCTTTAAAGTTAGCCACCCTTTGCCTTGATCACAGCTTTGCACACTCTTGGCATTCTCTCAACCAGCTTCACCTGGAATGCTTTTCCAACAGTCTTGAAGGAGTTCCCACATATGCTGAGCACTGAGGCTGCTTTTCCTTCAATCCGCGGTCCAACTCATCCCAAACCATCTCAATTGGGTTGAGGTCGGTGTGATTGTGGAGGCCAGGTCATCTGATGCAGCACTCAATTACTCTCCTTCTTGGTCAAATAGCCCTTACACAGCCTGGAGGTGTGTTGGGTCATTGTCCTGTTGAAAAACAAATGATAGTTCCACTAAGCGCAAACCAGATGGGATGGCGTATCGCTGCAGAATGGTTAAGTGTGCCTTGAATTCTAAATAAGTCACCAGCAAAGCACCCCCACACCATAACACCTCCTCCTCCATGCTTCACGGTGGGAACCACACATGCGGCGATCATCCGTTCACCTACTCTATGTCTCACAAAGACACAGCGGTTGTAACCAAAAATCTCAAATTTGGACTCATCAGACCAAAGGACAGATTTCCACCGGTCTAATGTTCATTGCTCGTGTTTCTTGGCCCAAGCAAGTCTCTTCTTCTGATTGGTGTCCTTTAGTAGTGGTTTCTTTGCAGCAATTCGACCATGAAAGCTTGATTCACACAGTCTCCTCTGAACAGTTGATGTTGAGATGTGTCTGTTACTTGAACTCTGTGAAGCATTTATTTGGGCTGCAATTTCTGAGGCTGGTAACTCTAATGAACTTATCCTCTGCAGCAGAGGTAACACTGGGTCTTCCTTTCCTGTGGTGATCCTCATGAGAGCCAGTTTCATCATAGCGCTTGAAGGTTTTTGCGACTGCACTTGAAGAAACTTTCAAAGTTCTTGAAATTTTCCGGATTGACTGACCTTCACGTTTTAAAGTAATGATGGACTGTCGTTTCTCTTTGCTTATTTGAGCTGTTCTCGCCATAATATGGACTTGGTATTTTACCAAATAGGGCTATCTGCTGTATACCCACCCTACATTGTCACAACACAACTGATTGGCTCAAACGCATTAAAAAGGAAAGAAATTCCACAAATTAACTTTTAAGAAGGCACACCTGTTAATTGAAATGCATTCCAGGTGACTACCTCATGAAGCTGGTTGAGAGAATGCCAAGATTGTGCAAAGCTGTCATCAATGCAAAGGGTGGCTACTTGGAAGAATCTCAAATATAACATATATTTTGATTTGTTTAACACTTTTTTGGTTACTACATGATTCCATATGTGTTATTTCATAGTTTTGATGTCTTCACTATTATTATACAATGTAGAAAATAGTAAAAATAAAGAAAAACCCTTGAATGAGTAGGTGTGTCCAAACTTTTGACTGGTACTGTATGTAAAAACCTTTGCATAGCAGTTAACCATTTCCATTAGTTCCATAGGGTTCTTTTGGATAACCTTTTTGAGAAAGGATTATGAGAAATTGAGAAAGGACTATATTGTACTGTATTTGATTTATCTGATCCAACTCATAACCTTTTTGTCGTAAATCATGAGTCTATAGCCTGTTTGGAGTAGGCCTACCTGTCGTATGTGTGGTCGTTGCCTGTGTTGGCCGTGGTGTCCACATCATCTCCAATCACCCAGTTGAATTTCTTGTCACTACGGATACGGATATTTGTCATGCCTCTCTTGGTGACATAACTTCCATCCGCGTTGAAATCGCCCAGGATCATGATGTTCTGCCAGAGACACAAACAGTGATACCACACTAAAGTACTTCTATATTCTCTTTATTTTTAAGCTAAATGCTATCAACAATTATATAATGTTGTGATAAAAAAAAAGAGGGGATAGCACTTTATTTTAAGGTGCGTGTTAGCCATTAATGTGTAGTTTATAAGTGTGTATATATATGTAGTTAATGAGTCCTTTATTATGTCATACGTTAGACCTTAATTAACAGTTTTCTTATTCAAACAGTATAAGTCATGTGTTACTTAATAACCTCATCGTTAGCCATAATAAAGTATGTAATAAAGAGCGAGTTACACAAGAAACAGACTCTTGGTAAGAGGTCTCAATGTGGAACTAATGGCATAGTACCTCAATGTGTTCCCTATTCTAAAGTGTTATCTTCGGTTACATCTTAGAATAGGGAACACATATTATGTACTATGTTGTTATTAGTCCTACACTGAGACAGCTTACTAAGAATATTGTTCCTGTGTAACTCGCTCTTTATTAAATACTAATATGTCTTTATTATGGCTTAAAAGGAGGTTATTAAGGATTTTCCAGTAGCACATGACAATGTTTGAATAAGAAAACATTTAATTAAGGTCTAATATATGGATAATAAGACACAATAAAGACCTTATTAGTTACTTATATACACACTTATAAACTACAAATGTGTGGCTACTATTTGTACCTTAAAATAAAGTGTCAGTGAACTTTAACTTTCAAAATAAGAAGTGTGTGCACTAGTTAGTAAACCTACATCAGTCTTCCATTTTCTCTTCACTACTTTGACGACGTCGTACAGCTCGTCCAGTTCCTTCACAGAGTCTTCAGGCTTGGTGTGCACCGGGATCAACACGAGGTCTTTCAGCACTGTAGGATATAAAGCAATCATGTCATATCCTGTATGTAATGGCCTGGAACACAACTCCAGGTCTACTGTGAACAGTCTGGAGTAGGTACCATAGTAGGGGTTAGGAGTTGATCCTGACCACATAACCTGATCAGAAAAAAACGATGCATGCTATAACTAGGCCTCAGAGCTTCCCTTTATCAGGTCACATAGTCAGTAGGAACTCAGGGCCCTAATAATAGGAACTAAAGAGGATAGATGAAAATTAATGATAACGTACGTGAAGGCATGACTATAATACTACCTGTATTGAGACAGGTGAAACAGGACTCTCTAGTGAAGGCATGACTATACTACTACCTGTATTGAGACAGGTGAAACAGGACTCTCTAGTGAAGACATGACTATAATACTACCTGTATTGAGACAGGTGAAACAGGACTCTCTAGTGAAGGCATGACTATAATACTACCTGTATTGGGACAGGTGAAACAGGACTCTCTAGTGAAGGCATGACTATAATACTACCTGTATTGAGACAGGTGAAACAGGACTCTCTAGTGAAGGCATGACTATAATACTACCTGTATTGAGACAGGTGAAACAGGACTCTCTAGTGAAGGCATGACTATAATACTACCTGTATTGAGACAGGTGAAACAGGACTATCTAGTGAAGGCATGACTATAATACTACCTGTATTGAGACAGGTGAAACAGGACTCTCTAGTGAAGGCATGACTATAATACTACCTGTATTGGGACAGGTGAAACAGGACTCTCTAGTGAAGGCATGACTATAATACTACCTGTATTGAGACAGGTGAAACAGGACTCTCTAGTGAAGGCATGACTATAATACTACCTGTATTGAGACAGGTGAAACAGGACTCTCTAGTGAAGGCATGACTATAATACTACCTGTATTGAGACAGGTGAAACAGGACTCTCTAGTGAAGGCATGACTATAGACTACCTGTATTGAGACAGGTGAAACAGGACTCTCTAGTGAAGGCATGACTATAATACTACCTGTATTGAGACAGGTAAAACAGGACTCTCTAGTGAAGGCATGACTATACTACTACCTGTATTGAGACAGGTGAAACAGGACTCTCTAGTGAAGACATGACTATAATACTACCTGTATTGAGACAGGTGAAACAGGACTCTCTAGTGAAGGCATGACTATAATACTACCTGTATTGAGACAGGTGAAACAGGACTCTCTAGTGAAGGCATGACTATAATACTACCTGTATTGAGACAGGTGAAACAGGACTCTCTAGTGAAGGCATGACTATAATACTACCTGTATTGAGACAGGTGAAACAGGACTCTCTAGTGAAGGCATGACTATAATACTACCTGTATTGAGACAGGTGAAACAGGACTCTCTAGTGAAGGCATGACTATAATACTACCTGTATTGAGACAGGTGAAACAGGACTCTCTAGTGAAGGCATGACTATACTACTACCTGTATTGAGACAGGTGAAACAGGACTCTCTAGTGAAGACATGACTATAATACTACCTGTATTGAGACAGGTGAAACAGGACTCTCTAGTGAAGGCATGACTATAATACTACCTGTATTGGGACAGGTGAAACAGGACTCTCTAGTGAAGGCATGACTATAATACTACCTGTATTGAGACAGGTGAAACAGGACTCTCTAGTGAAGGCATGACTATAATACTACCTGTATTGAGACAGGTGAAACAGGACTCTCTAGTGAAGGCATGACTATAATACTACCTGTATTGAGACAGGTGAAACAGGACTATCTAGTGAAGGCATGACTATAATACTACCTGTATTGAGACAGGTGAAACAGGACTCTCTAGTGAAGGCATGACTATAATACTACCTGTATTGGGACAGGTGAAACAGGACTCTCTAGTGAAGGCATGACTATAATACTACCTGTATTGAGACAGGTGAAACAGGACTCTCTAGTGAAGGCATGACTATAATACTACCTGTATTGAGACAGGTGAAACAGGACTCTCTAGTGAAGGCATGACTATAATACTACCTGTATTGAGACAGGTGAAACAGGACTCTCTAGTGAAGGCATGACTATAGACTACCTGTATTGAGACAGGTGAAACAGGACTCTCTAGTGAAGGCATGACTATAATACTACCTGTATTGAGACAGGTGAAACAGGACTCTCTAGTGAAGGCATGACTATACTACTACCTGTATTGAGACAGGTGAAACAGGACTCTCTAGTGAAGACATGACTATAATACTACCTGTATTGAGACAGGTGAAACAGGACTCTCTAGTGAAGGCATGACTATAATACTACCTGTATTGAGACAGGTGAAACAGGACTCTCTAGTGAAGGCATGACTATAATACTACCTGTATTGAGACAGGTGAAACAGGACTCTCTAGTGAAGGCATGACTATAATACTACCTGTATTGAGACAGGTGAAACAGGACTCTCTAGTGAAGGCATGACTATAATACTACCTGTATTGAGACAGGTGAAACAGGACTCTCTAGTGAAGGCATGACTATAATACTACCTGTATTGAGACAGGTGAAACAGGACTCTCTAGTGAAGGCATGACTATACTACTACCTGTATTGAGACAGGTGAAACAGGACTCTCTAGTGAAGACATGACTATAATACTACCTGTATTGAGACAGGTGAAACAGGACTCTCTAGTGAAGGCATGACTATAATACTACCTGTATTGGGACAGGTGAAACAGGACTCTCTAGTGAAGGCATGACTATAATACTACCTGTATTGAGACAGGTGAAACAGGACTCTCTAGTGAAGGCATGACTATAATACTACCTGTATTGAGACAGGTGAAACAGGACTCTCTAGTGAAGGCATGACTATAATACTACCTGTATTGAGACAGGTGAAACAGGACTCTCTAGTGAAGGCATGACTATAATACTACCTGTATTGAGACAGGTGAAACAGGACTCTCTAGTGAAGGCATGACTATAATACTACCTGTATTGAGACAGGTGAAACAGGACTCTCTAGTGAAGGCATGACTATAATACTACCTGTATTGAGACAGGTGAAACAGGACTCTCTAGTGAAGGCATGACTATAATACTACCTGTATTGAGACAGGTGAAACAGGACTCTCTAGTGAAGGCATGACTATAATACTACCTGTATTGAGACAGGTGAAACAGGACTCTCTAGTGAAGACATGACTATAATACTACCTGTATTGAGACAGGTGAAACAGGACTCTCTAGTGAAGGCATGACTATAATACTACCTGTATTGAGACAGGTGAAACAGGACTCTCTAGTGAAGGCATGACTATAATACTACCTGTATTGAGACAGGTGAAACAGGACTCTCTAGTGAAGGCATGACTATAATACTACCTGTATTGAGACAGGTGAAACAGGACTCTCTAGTGAAGGCATGACTATAATACTACCTGTATTGAGACAGGTGAAACAGGACTCTCTAGTGAAGACATGACTATAATACTACCTGTATTGAGACAGGTGAAACAGGACTCTCTAGTGAAGGCATGACTATAAAACTACCTGTATTGAGACAGGTGAAACAGGACTCTCTAGTGAAGACATGACTATAATACTACCTGTATTGAGACAGGTGAAACAGGACTCTCTAGTGAAGGCATGACTATAATACTACCTGTATTGAGACAGGTGAAACAGGACTCTCTAGTGAAGGCATGACTATAATACTACCTGTATTGAGACAGGTGAAACAGGACTCTCTAGTGAAGGCATGACTATAATACCACCTGTATTGGGACAGGTGAAACAGGACTCTCTAGTGAAGGCATGACTATAATACTACCTGTATTGAGACAGGTGAAACAGGACTCTCTAGTGAAGGCATGACTATAATACTACCTGTATTGAGACAGGTGAAACGGAGGATGTAGGGCTCTCTGGCGAAGGCGTCCTCGTCTCCCACCTGGGTGTCCTCATACTGATAGCTGTCAGTCAGCTTCACATGGTCCTCTCTGTCACCAACATACATGAGGCATCCATCATCTTACAGCTGATCACGTTTATCTACAGGGCCCGTATTCATAACGTTTCCCTGAGTAGGATCAGGTCCCCGCTGTTTATGTACACTTGTTCATTAATTATCTAAAAAGGCTCAACTTATTCTAGATCAGTTAATTTCAGGTCTTAGATAAGCCTCAATGTAAGTGAAATCTGATTGTGTTGTCTAACAACACATTGTGTCGGTACCTGTAGAGGAAGACAAACTGTTCCTTGTAGGTGTCTCGGCCCAGTCTGGTACTTTTAACCATGGTGTAAGGATGCTTCCTGTTGGCCCTGCCAAAAGGATATAACACATGATGCCTTTTTCTTCAGTGGCATTTATTTTATTTTACCTTTATTTAACTAGGCAAGTCAGTTAAGAACAAATTCTTATTTACAACGACGGCCTACACCGGCCAAACCCGGACGACGCTGGGCCAATTGTGCGCCGCCCAATGGGACTCCCAATTACGGCCAGTTGTGATACAGCCTGGAATCGAACCAGGGGGTCTGTAGTGACGCCTCAAGCACTGAGATGCAGTGCCTTAGACCGCTACCGCCACTCGGGAGCCCAGTAAGGTGTTAATCAGTGTATTATATAGATGTGGATATATGACATGTATACAGGAGAATTGCTCGGGATTCAGGTATTGTTGTATATTTTAGAACAGAGATGAAGAAAATACTTCATGGTAGCAAACCTTGTGTCATTCAGCTCCCTAAGGAACGTTGTCATGGCCTGGCCAGTCCTATCAACCACTTCTAGGATCAATAAGACACTGTAGCGGGACACAATCTGGACATATGGAATAAAATGGAATGCAATGGATTAAATAGAATGGAATGGAATGAATTAAATATAATGGAATGGAATGAATTAAATATAATGGAATGGAATGAATTAAATAGAATGGAATGGAATGAATTAAATAGAATGGAATGAATTAAATATAATGGAATGGAATGAATTAAATATAATGGAATGGAAGGAATTAAATAGAATGGAATGGAATGAATTAAATAGAATGGAATGGAATGAATTAAATAGAATGGAATGGAATGAATTAAATAGAATGGAATGGAATGAATTAAATAAAATGGAATGGAAGGAATTAAATAGAATGGAATGAATTAAATAAAATGGAATGAATTAAATAGAATGGAATGGAATGAATTAAATAAAATGGAATGGAAGGAATTAAATAGAATGGAATGAATTAAATAAAATGGAATGAATTAAATAGAATGGAATGGAATGAATTAAATAGAATGGAATGGAATGAATTAAATAGAATGGAATGACAGACTCAGTGTTGAAAAATAAGTTGAATAGAGAATATTTCCAGAAGAATGACAGGATAATCACCTTGATGAGATATTTCAGGACATTCTTATCAGCCACTTTGCTTGTGCCCAATCTTCTGACATTGAAGGATGCCACCTTCATGATTGCTTCAGGTAATAGAGCGGTTATTATACATCTTAGTAGTAGGCATAGAGTCTAGTCTATATACTGTCTGTATATGTTTGTCAAGATGATTAGTAAAAAAGAGATATTTCACCAAAAATTACTTGAACAAATATTGTATGTATTATATGTTTCCATTCTCTTACCATACAAAAAGAGTTTAGACTTCCTGATGTTTTATGGTAGAAATTATCTGGTAGAAATAATTTGCTATTATAGTCCCCACAAAGTGTTCATCGGAGTCTGGTTCAGTCCTGGTCCTTTAATTCAGCTGTAAATTGTCAATAGATATCAGTACAGACTAAAAGGCTTTAAAGACAGAAAGCAGAACACTAGCCTTGCAGACTGTCTGACCTCAAGAAGAGCGGAAGCCTCAAAACATCTGACATATGCATACAGTTGCTTCCTGTGCAGTCTCACAGCAGTTTTTCACACGAACAACATCAACATTAAATATTATACTCATATTTCTCAGTTAACATCTCTTTTGCTTTTTTGGGGGGGGGTACAAAATAATAATATTGTAAACAATTTTATATGACATTAACTCAAAGAAGATTATTGAATAAGGTTGATTGATAATAGTTATCCTAAGTATTTAGTCTATTTGATTCGTATTTAACTTATTCTTTATTCAATTTCCTTACCGTGTTATGATGATGTACCCAGGAGCCGAATGATGCTCTGATGCCTTTAGTAAACAGCAGGAGCCGAAGGATGCTCTGATGCCTTTAGTAAACAGCAGGAGCCGAAGGATGCTCTGATGCCTTTAGTAAACAGCAGGAGCCGAAGGATGCTCTGATGCCTTTAGCAAACAGCAGAAATCTGCTTCAGAGAGAACGTAGTATGGCCTGAACTGCACTAGATAACCCTCTCTCTACCTGTAAACCTAGGCGGTGGCTAAAGCTTTATAACATATCACTTCCTGTATCAGAAGAACAGTTTGTGGTATGGAAATGTTATCTATGCGTTTGCAAATTTTCTTTCCATTTCCAACAACATCACAGTGCAGTTTGTGTCACTGTACACACTGATAGTGTGCTGAGTGTTTCACTCAGGCAGGCCACTTTCTTCCTAACCGCTTGGTTGTGAAATGTGTAAATACAGTAGTTAGTTACTTAGAGACCAGGTTGTATATAGTGCCTTAGAGACCAGGTTGTATATAGTGCCTTAGAGACCAGGTTGTATATAGTGCCTTAGAGACCAGGTTGTATATAGTGCCTTAGAGACCAGGTTGTATATAGTGCCTTAGAGACAAGGTTGTATATAGTGCCTTAGAGACCAGGTTGTATATAGTGCCTTAGAGACCAGGTTGTATATAGTGCCTTAGAGACCAGGTTGTATATAGTTACTTAGAGACCAGGTTGTATATAGTGCCTTAGAGACCAGGTTGTATATAGTGCCTTAGAGACCAGGTTGTATATAGTGCCTTAGAGACCAGGTTGTATATAGTGCCTTAGAGACCAGGTTGTATATAGTGCCTTAGAGACCAGGTTGTATATAGTGCCTTAGAGACCAGGTTGTATATAGTTATTTAGAGACCAGGTTGTATATAGTGCCTTAGAGACCAGGTTGTATATAGTGCCTTAGAGACCAGGTTGTATATAGTGCCTTAGAGACCAGGTTGTATATAGTGCCTTAGAGACCAGGTTGTATATAGTTACTTAGAGACCAGGTTGTATATAGTGCCTTAGAGACCAGGTTGTATATAGTGCCTTAGAGACCAGGTTGTATATAGTTACTTAGAGACCAGGTTGTATATAGTGCCTTAGAGACCAGGTTGTATATAGTGCCTTAGAGACCAGGTTGTATATAGTGCCTTAGAGACCAGGTTGTATATAGTGCCTTAGAGACCAGGTTGTATATAGTGCCTTAGAGACCAGGTTTGTATATAGTGCCTTAGAGACCAGGTTGTATATAGTGCCTTAGAGACCAGGTTGTATATAGTGCCTTAGAGACCAGGTTGTATATAGTGCCTTAGAGACCAGGTTGTATATAGTGCCTTAGAGACCAGGTTGTATATAGTTACTTAGAGACCAGGTTGTATATAGTGCCTTAGAGACCAGGTTGTATATAGTGCCTTAGAGACCAGGTTGTATATAGTGCCTTAGAGACCAGGTTGTATATAGTGCCTTAGAGACCAGGTTGTATATAGTGCCTTAGAGACAAGGTTGTATATAGTGCCTTAGAGACCAGGTTGTATATAGTGCCTTAGAGACCAGGTTGTATATAGTGCCTTAGAGACCAGGTTGTATATAGTTACTTAGAGACCAGGTTGTATATAGTGCCTTAGAGACCAGGTTGTATATAGTGCCTTAGAGACCAGGTTGTATATAGTGCCTTAGAGACCAGGTTGTATATAGTGCCTTAGAGACCAGGTTGTATATAGTTACTTAGAGACCAGGTTGTATATAGTGCCTTAGAGACCAGGTTGTATATAGTGCCTTAGAGACCAGGTTGTATATAGTTACTTAGAGACCAGGTTGTATATAGTGCCTTAGAGACCAGGTTGTATATAGTGCCTTAGAGACCAGGTTGTATATAGTGCCTTAGAGACCAGGTTGTATATAGTGCCTTAGAGACCAGGTTGTATATAGTGCCTTAGAGACCAGGTTGTATATAGTGCCTTAGAGACCAGGTTGTATATAGTGCCTTAGAGACCAGGTTGTATATAGTGCCTTAGAGACCAGGTTATATATAGTTACTTAGAGACCAGGTTGTATATAGTGCCTTAGAGACCAGGTTGTATATAGTGCCTTAGAGACCAGGTTGTATATAGTGCCTTAGAGACCAGGTTGTATATAGTGCCTTAGAGACCAGGTTGTATATAGTGCCTTAGAGACCAGGTTGTATATAGTGCCTTAGAGACCAGGTTGTATATAGTTACTTAGAGACCAGGTTGTATATAGTGCCTTAGAGACCAGGTTGTATATAGTGCCTTAGAGACCAGGTTGTATATAGTGCCTTAGAGACCAGGTTGTATATAGTGCCTTAGAGACCAGGTTGTATATAGTGCCTTAGAGACCAGGTTGTATATAGTGCCTTAGAGACCAGGTTGTATATAGTTACTTAGAGACCAGGTTGTATATAGTGCCTTAGAGACCAGGTTGTATATAGTGCCTTAGAGACCAGGTTGTATATAGTGCCTTAGAGACCAGGTTGTATATAGTGCCTTAGAGACCAGGTTATATATAGTTACTTAGAGACCAGGTTGTATATAGTGCCTTAGAGACCAGGGTTGTATATAGTGCCTTAGAGACAAGGTTGTATATAGTGCCTTAGAGACCAGGTTGTATATAGTGCCTTAGAGACCAGGTTGTATATAGTGCCTTAGAGACAAGGTTGTATATAGTGCCTTAGAGACCAGGTTGTATATAGTGCCTTAGAGACCAGGTTGTATATAGTGCCTTAGAGACCAGGTTGTATATAGTGCCTTAGAGACCAGGTTGTATATAGTGCCTTAGAGACCAGGTTGTATATAGTGCCTTAGAGACCAGGTTGTATATAGTGCCTTAGAGACCAGGTTGTATATAGTGCCTTAGAGACCAGGTTGTATATAGTGCCTTAGAGACCAGGTTGTATATAGTGCCTTAGAGACCAGGTTGTATATAGTGCCTTAGAGACCAGGTTGTATATAGTGCCCCAAAAACGTATTTGAGATGGTGACCACTGTTATTATTGGATCTAGAGTGACCTTTAGTGTTGGGAACCTGTCATCTGGTCCCAGTGTATCCAGGGGCCCTATTTCTGTTCTTTATTAGGGGCAGCTCCACTCCTTCCATATTTTGTTAAATGTTTATTAGACAGGACAGAGAGACAGAGGAAAGATAGGAGGAGAGAGTTTTCTGAAATAGCAGTGGGACGGATTTAAACCCATGCTGCAGCGGGCCAGTGGTACTGTAGGCCGTATGTGCTACAGAGGCAGAGGCTTACACCACTAGATCAACTAGATCACTTACACCACTAGATCAACTAGATTTACACCACTAGATCAACCTAAACCACAAGGCCCCCATTTATTTTGGCCCCTCTGATCATCAGGGCAAGTTCCAAAATGTCAAGACCTCTGTAGCTCAATTGGTAGAGCATGGCGCTTGTAACGCCAGGGTAGTGGGTTCAAGCCCCGGGACCACTCATACGTAGAAATGTATGCACACACGACTGTAAGTCGCTTTGGATAAAAGCGTCTGCTAAATGGCATATTATTATTATGACCAGGATGGCCTTCCATGCATATAAATTCATAACAATAAATGTAAACAGGCCCTAAAAAATACAATTATTTTGTCATGTTGGTGTGGTGTTTTGTTCTAATGTTAGTGTAGGAAGAAGCTCTAGGCCTGTCCTGACTTTCACAGTTTAAACACCATAGTACACACCCGAGACATCTAGAGATGTCAACTCTGACAGGAGGCCCTGGGGCTACAGAATCCAGTACAACCACAGTACTTATCTGGAATAGGAATGTCTCTGTCTATGAGTAGCTCAGAAGTTACTCTAAATCTGAGTAGTGGAATTTCGTGATTTTAGGGGCAAGACCATTTGGCCCAATCTGCCAGGGCACCAATGCCATTTACCAAAATAGCTAATTAAATTGATTTGATAACCGAAAAACACCAATAAATAATTAGCCTACATGCCAAATTGTAGGTGATAGCCTACGAGTACTGACTACAGTCTGTCATACTCGAGGCACTGATACATTTTAGTCATTTAGCAGACGCTCTTATCCAGAGCGACTTACAGTTAGTGAGTGCATAAATTTTTCATACTGGCCCCCCGTGGGAAACGAACCCACAACCCTGGCGTTGCAAGCGCCATGCTCTACCAACTGAGCTACAGGGGACCTGTAGATAAGAGAGAAAGGCCAGTGCCTGTTGTGCAACATCACCCACCTTGCAAAGGAGGCTGTCAACATTCTGAAACTATTTAACCATAAACGTAATTGTTTAAAACCTGGACGTTAAAAAAAAAAAATGTATGAGGCATATCTTACCTTGTTCTGACCATAGGAATGTTAAGGGTATTATTTTATAAACACTTCCTCATATGCCATTGAAACCAGTATTTCTCTCATGTTCTCAACTTCCTTTCATTGTCCAGCAGCCAAATACACAATCCTAGTCATTAACAACCCATGCGCAGCGCTTTGGAGAACGGTGCTTTCCCGCTAATTGCATTTTGGAACATTCGCATTTATAGCCTCGCTTGTTTGATCAACTACTAGTTCATGATAGTTTTACATCGATGTGAAAACATGAACGTTGATTATTTTTCCAGCAGGAGTCATGGTTTCATCTTTCAATGTCCAGAAATTTCGGACGCGCAAGATTTCAGGCCCACAGAGCCTTGCTATCCTTGTTAAGGTATAGTATGATAGTCGGATGTGGCAGGGCTTGAAAACTATTACAGACTACAAAGGGAAGCACAGCCACGAACTGCCCAGTGACACAAGCCTACCAGCCGAGCTAAATCACTTCTATGCTCGCTTCGAGGCAAGCAACACTGAAGCATGCATGAGAGCATCAACTGTTCCGGATGACTATGTGATCACTCTCTCCGTAGCCGAAGCCGATGTGAGTAAGACTTTTAAGCAGGTCAACATTCACAAGGCCGCAGGGCCAGACGGATTACCAGGACGTGTACTCCGAGCATGCGCTGACCAACTGGCAAGTGTCTTCATTGACATTTTCAACATGTCCCTGACTGAGTCTGTAATACCAACATGTTTCAAGCAGACCACCATAGTCCCTGTGCCCAAAGCCTAAATGACTACTGACCCGTAGCACTCACGTCTGTAGCCATGAAGTGCTTTGAAAGGCTGGTCATGGCTCACATCAACACCATTATCCCAGAAACCCTAGACCCACTCCAATTTGCATACCGCCCCAACAGATCCACAGATGATGCAATCTCTATTGCACTCCACACTGCCCTTTCCCACCTGGACAAGAGGAACACCTACGTGAGAATGCTATTCATTGACTACAGCTCAGCGTCCAACACAATAGTGCCCTCAAAGCTCATCACTAAGCTAAGGATCCTGGGACTAAACACCTCCCTCTGAAACTGGATCCTGGACTTCCTGACGGGCTGCCCCAGGTGGTAAGGGTAGGTAACAACACGTCTGCCACGCTGATCCTCAACACAGGGGCCCCTCAGGGGTGCGTGCTCAGTCCCCTGCTGTACTCCCTGCTCACCCATGACTGCATGGCCAGGCACGACTCCAACATCATCATTGTAAATGTTTTGGTGTTGATATAAGGTAGTTAAAATGTCATAAGGTATTACAAAACACATTTACTTGTGTGTAATATGGAATGACTGCTGACTTGTTCTGATCCACATCTAGGATTGTGATCTATGGGGATGACATGCTTTACGCCAGCGTGCCAAATTATTCTACTACTAGAATACATATGGCCTTTCTAAAAGACGTAAGTATGCACATTAGACAATACAAGCCAAGTTCAATCCTGGTAGATGGTTTGATTAAATTAACACATTAGTAGCCTACATTGACAACCTGTCTACATTAGAAATACATAATAATAATAATAAATACATGTAAAAGGGTGAACCCTCTGGCTTACATCTCCACATCTAACATTCTTTATTAGGCCCTGAAGGTGGGTGACCATTACCCTGTGGAGGTACAGCTGAAAAGACTGACACCAACTAAACAGAGTAAGCAGCATCATTGCGCTTTATTCTGAATCTCCCAAACTTTCCTCTTAAAAGAAAATCGTCAAAACAAGGAACAAAACAGCAACAGCTTTAACACACATCACTCCACACACATTCAAACATCTTGTGTAGAAATCTGCACAATAAAATGAATTGTAGATATAAGAAAACTATTTTTATGGGACTGGGAAACAGAACCCTCTACGTGGACAAGAGGGGACCGTATGAAGAGGATTTATGGAACTGAAGAGAGAACCTCAACGAGAGAAGCTGAATTTACAGATACAAGTGCTGAAGATGCAGGTGGCCATGCTTGGAAGAAGTGAAACTGATTAAATCTTACCACAGTACTAGCCATTTGTACTGCATGTCATGTTTGTATGTGTAGCTACTGATCTAATGCTGATGTAATAATAATAATAAGCCATTTAGCAGACGCTTTTATCCAAAGCGACTTACAGTCATGCGTGCATACATTTTTGTGTATGGGTGGTCCCGGGGATCGAACCCACTACCCTGGCGTTACAAGCGCCGTGCTCTACCAGCTGAGCTACAGATGGACCACGACGTGTTTCTTGACAGAATCTCAAAGATTATGGAGGAGTGTAAATACAGCAGTAGTTACAAGACTTTATTAGTTCAGAACTTCTTTACGTAACACATTGGAAATTATTTAAAAGGGTCATTTCATGTATTTTACTCATTCTACAATAGACCCAAACAGAAAAAAAACAAAGGAGGTGGTGGGGGGTTGGATTTTCCAGGGGGCTGCGATTCAGCAAATGAGTGCATGATCTAATGCCAAATCACTTCTTTCCAGACTTCTTGATTCCTCCACCAGCTGAAAGAAAAATGGAGGGGATTGAGAAAACCCATCTAAAATATGTTTAACTTTTCTAGAAAACTCAAGTAGAGGCAAAAAATGTATAGACTCAAAAACCATCTGTGGCAAGCAGAGTATATTGAATGTCAGGCAAGAATACCCACAAAGCTAACACTGCCACCTAGTGTTAAGACAATCAGTAGGCCTATTCTCCTCAGTGCTTGTGATGCTTTTTCTTTGGCCATTATATCCTCTACAGTATAAAAACAGTTAAACATTGGCAAGGGAAAATAATACTCTATTATCTGGAGTCAGTGTATGTGTAGATTTGGGAGAAGTTGAAAGTCCACCCTTTGATTTATTTTGAGTATTGTTCAGTTTCATCAGAAAAAGCTAGGAATCCTGATTAAATTCTTATTGTCAACAAGAACAAATAAATGATTATTACTTAAAGGTCCCTTTCCTGCTGCTTTCGTCTTCAATGCCTCCAAGGCTTTCTGGTCTTCTTTCTGCTTCTGTTTGAAGGCCATTTCATCCTGGATTTGACATAAAGCAAATGTGCTCAGGATTACAATGGAAATGCAGTAGTCTACATTTTAATTCCAACCATTTTGAATTTGCAATGATACTGAGTGTTCCCTCATTAGAAGAGTTTACATGATATAGGCTACATACAATATTGTGCCAACAACACATTGACTTACATCATCCATTTCCTTAGTGGCTTTCTTGGCAGCTTTTAAGGGCTTCTTTTTACCACCTGTAAGACAAGAACATATCCCATTGAATTAATATGAATCAATGTATCATGAATGAATTCGAAGCTGAGTCACTCACCACCTTCCGGAGACACTTGAAACCCCACCTCTTTAAGGAATACCTGGGTTAGGATTAGGTCATCCTTCTACCCCCCCTTACCCCACCCCCCAAAACAAAACAAATTGTAAAGTGGTTATCCCACTGGCTATCATAAGGTGAATGCACCAATTTGTAAGTCGCTCTGGATAAGAGCGTCTGCTAAATGACGAAAATGTAAATGTATTTCCACATGAGCATCACACAAAGCCCAGAAGGTAGCAAGCTAGGTAACTAGCTAAACTGATTACGACATGCGGGAGAAATTTACACACTACACAGCTCGCTAACTATCTAGAATAACTTTGATGCATGTATTAACAAGCAGCAGTTAGTAAGAGCAATATTTGAACATATGGTACATACAAATGCCATCTCTGTAAATAGAGTCTACTTTCTAGTCTAAGTAGCATGGCCATCTCTTTGCTTTGGCATGGCTTGCCAGGCGCCAGCTATTCCGGCTACAGTAACTAGCTACATTACAATGCATTGCACGAGTTGCTAGTTAGCGAGTCTGAACAATCGTAGCTATATTTATCTAGTAGCGGCAATATTAAGTTTCACCTGAAAATAAATATCGAGCTTTATGTCAAAAACGTAAATGTGAATCTCACCTTCTCTTCCAGACATATTTGCAATTTTTTCAAGACAATCTCAAGAAAAACAACTGAGCTAGCGTGTTAGCAGTTGCGTTGTAATCCGCGCTGTTAGGACCTTACTTCCGCTCTAAACCGGATGCAGGATGTTTATGATGTGCCTGATCATAAAAATACCATTCACGTTCTGTGGCCAGCTGATCATTTGCCGAACAATCAATACTTGCAGACAGCCGGTAGGTGATTATACTTATTAGGTACAAAAACAAATCAGAGAGATCAATAACTAGGAGTATAACATTATGTTAATTTAGGCTTGGGTTGCCTAAAGCAAGTTTGCAAACTGTCAGCTGCTAGCTAATTAGGTAGCTATGCTAGCTAGCCCGTTATCTATGGTAATTCATTGGGGTCGCAGCCACTGCATTATGGAAGACATCCAAAATGGCCATAGATTTTCAATTAATTGCATTAACACCAGCATTGTAGAGGTCAACTGAGCAGTGCTACAGAAATTTAAATATTCTCCTCCAGATAGCCCAACATATCTCAATCAGGGATGATACAAGGATACAGGAAATCGCTGGGGGATACAAAGTACAGTAACTAAGGTAGTGGTGTTTTGGAAGATCTAGCGAACTAAACTGTACCAGAGTTATTCAATCATTTTTGATAGCTCCGTCAAATATTATAAAACATTGATGAACATTCATTGATACATCAAGCCTCAACAGCCCACCCATATACTGCACTTTGATACAGGCTTTGACGGTACTGTTTTACAGGTGGCAGCTCCAATGTCTTCTGCTGTAGCGCGTCATAGTGAATATAACCGACTGGCTTCTCAATGAGGTACAGAGGGAAACAGCTCATACCATGGTGCCATGGGACATCATGTCTATACCGTTTCCATGTCCCTTGGACGGTCAGAGGGACTGTGTATTTCAGCAGGACTTACAGCACACAACAACAGAAACCACCAACCAACCATGACCAAGCAGACAAACCTGCTGTGCCTATTCAGGAGCATGCCATAGCTACAATACAGAATCTGACTGACTTGGGGAAGCAGTGGGGACAAAAGTCTGTGAGCACCGCCTCACAGTGGAGGCAGAAGTCTATGAGCACTGCCTCAAACACAGTTAACTACTGGTGGAAGAGGTACGAGGAGTTTGTCGGCCTGAATGAAGTCAGAGATGCCCAGTCTAAAGTCACAGAGGTAAGAGAATATGCAAGCCAGGCTTATGGAACTGGAGGTTTTGATGTATTTATCTTACTACCACTTCACTGAGTTTTCCCTGACTACATGACCTGGCGAGGAGAAAACCCTAGTTTGTCCTGGGCCCCAGAGTTTGTCCTAGCCAGGTCAGATTATTCATCTCTTTCCTGATCTTGTAAATGTTGTAATGTGTTTCTTTAGGCAGAAAAGGCCTTCATGGTGACCAGAGGGATGGTGCGTGAAGCACATGGCAGCCTGGAGACCTTACAGGTCAGGCTGAAGGAGGTGAGAGACCGACTGGATCGGGTCTCACGAGAGGAGGCCCACTACCTGGAGCTGGCCACGCTGGAGCACAAGCTGCTGCAGGTAACAACTGTCAACACGGGAATAAAATGGAACACACAAATCTGTAGTGTTGCACTCTGTATTTAAAGAAACAAACATTCTCACAATTTCCTGACCATAGGAGGAACGTCGCCTGCGAACAGCCTACGAGAACGCAGAGGGGGCGGAAAGGGAGAAGTTTGCCTTATTCTCAGCGGGTGTACGTGAGAGCCACGAGAAAGAACGGACGCGGACAGAGCGCACCAAGAACTGGTCCGTAATAGGCTCTGTACTCGGTGCCTTCATAGGGGTCATGGGGTCAACCTATGTCAACAGGGTACGCCTACAGGAGCTGAAGACCTTGCTACTGGAGGCCCAGAAAGGACCAGTCAGCCTACAGGAGGCTATCAAAGTCCAGGCCAGTATGCATAAGATCCAACAAGAGGAGCTGAGAGGCCTTATAGACACCCTGAGGGTGACACTTCAACATAGAGCAGCTCAGGCTGAGAAGGAGAAGAATGTGAAGAAACCAGTGGCAGCTCCTGTTCCGGTTCCAGAACCCATCGTGGTTCCACCTCCACCCCAACCCTCTGAGGCAGTTCTAAAAGAGATATTGCTTTATATCCAGAAGGCACAGTCTCTTATAGAAGGATTACAGCCCCAGCTGGGGCAGCTGGAACAGGGTGTAGGGAAGGTGGAATCGGAACTCCTGGAAGTGAAGAATTTGATTGAGACGTATCACAGTGAAGAGAAGCCGCCTGTAGTGATAAGTCAACAAGATTCACAGATGTTTGTTTGCGAAACAGAGAGTGTTATGCAAGGACTTGACCAGACGGAGAAAAGACTTGAGGCTCAGATAAACCAGACTACCATGTACAACACTGTTCTGGCTTACATTGCGCTTGCTGTCACTGTTCCTGCACTGTATGTTCTCTTTAGAGGTGTTTGACTAATGTTATGTACTGTAAAATAGTGATATTAATCTGACAGGGTCCATCTTGATTTACAATGAAATAATTACAAATTAATATTGTGATTGCTGTTCATGTCTTTCATACAGGGAAAATGAACCATGCACTGATGTGAAATCAATGACTGTAAATATTGAGTCTGAAATGTAAAAAATTAGAGTACTATAAATAAATGAAAATGTAATACATTATAAAATATTTTGTTGTGTTTTGAATGTAGATTGTTCTATAAACTAATGTAAATGTTTAACCGTACCTCTTTAAGGAATACCTGAAATAGTATAAAAGTAATCCTTCTACCCCCCCAAATAAATAAATTGTCCCACTAGCTATCATAAGTTGAATGCACCAATTTGTAAGTCGCTCTGAATAAGAGCGTCTGCTAAATTACTTAAATGTAAAAGATTTCTCACTCCAAGAAACATTTACATAAAACGTGTATTTCACACAAAAATATGGTCAAGTGTGAGAGCATTGCCCAATTTATTTCTAAGTTGGTCCAATGATGGCAGTTATACGAGCGCCAACCAGGCCACCCGGCTTGCTGGGCGAACCAAATAGAGTGCACCTAAATATATTTCAAAGGACTTGACCAAACACAGAGCCGTCAATTAGCTCCGACCAATCATAATACTGAGTTTGGGTTTCAACGTTACATATTCATGAGATTTCGCGCGCTTTCCATACCACGTGAATATTTGGCGCGAAAACTCAGTGTGGCCAGAAAAAAAACACTTGCGCGGAAGCAGCGGAGACAAGTAAGCACGAAACAATGGCGGTGAGTGATTATTATAAAAAATTGTTATATATTAACATTGCATGCTGTTTTTTAGTTGACAGATGATTGTTTATCTCCTGTGATGGGTTAGCTAGCCTTACTAGTGTTCTCCTTTTGCTAACAACGTTGACTTGCCCACAAATCTTAGCTAACAACGTTGTCTTGCCCACGAATCTTAGCTAGCTACCTTGTTTTGTCCACCAATCTTAGCTAGCTAAGCTTCTTATACGTTTTATTTGCCATGTCAAAGTTATACAAATAATTTAATGTAGTATTTCATTGTTCGCTAGTTAGTTAGCCAGTTTGATTGCCAGGTTGTCAGCCATCAGTCGGCGAACTAGCACTCCATTGTCACCATTATAGTTAGCTAGCTAACTAGAGATACCCTGGTAACTAACTTGAAAAGTAACAATGTTTCAATTATATAGCTCATGTTCTGCTAACTAGTTAACTCTTTGTTTACCACGTTACAGTACTTTCTGCCTGTTAAACATAGTTAGGGAATCCGCATTGGAACATCTTGTTACAATAACATTGTTATGCTATAAGTCGTCACATAAATAACTAGCTAAGTTTAGCTAATCGACTTTAACGAGGATCTGTGTATTCTCCTCTTCGTCAGGATTCATCTGAGTCATATCACATGGCGACCAGCCCCAGCCGTGGTTCCAGGCGGGGAGACCTGACCTCCAGCCCCGGGAGAGACCTGCCCCCCTTCGAGGACGAGTCCGAGGGGCTCCTGGGTGATGGTCCTCTGCCGGGGGAGGAGGAGGAGGGAGATGGGGAGGAACTGATCGGAGATGCGATGGAGAGGTGAGTAAGGGGAGGTGTTCAGTCAAGGTGGACAGAGTTTATTTCATTCTAGCTAACTTGATAAACTAGCTGGGTTACTCTGGTTACAGTGTTAGTGACTGTTCTTATTCCTTGTGGTGCAGTGTAACATGATTGCAATAAAACATGTATTCAATACCTGTTAGGGATTCACTCAAATTAATTCAAAGTGGAATTGATCCTGGTCGTTTACCTCATCCTGAGTTATGACATAGTTCTTTACATGGTATTCTGGTTGCTTTATGGGTGCAGTTATTCTCAAAGCATTTTCATGTTCACCACACACTAACCCCCCCCCCCCCCCCCCCCCCCCCCCCCCCCCCAATACAGGGACTACCGAGCCATCCCTGAGCTGGACAGGTATGAGGAGGAGGGTCTGGATCTTGATGAGGAGCTGTCAGAGCTGTCTCCTGGAGCCAGGGCTGCAGCTGAGGACGCCATGAGGAGAAGAGACAGGGAGCAGGGAGGCAGGCTGAGGAGAGGTCTGCTGTATGGTGAGGATGTTATATTATATACATGAGACTCAGGGACAGGGAGGTAGGCTGAGGAAATTAGGATATTATATATATATATATATATATATATATATATATATATATACACACATTATGATAGATATACAGTACCAGTCAACATTTTGGACACTTACTCAAGGGTTTTTCTTTATTTTTACTTTTTTTTTTACATTGTAGAATAATAGTGAAGACATCAAAACTATGAAATAACACATATGGAATCATGTAGTAACCATGCAGCACTCATCACTCTCCTTCTTGGTCAAATAGCCCTTACACAGCTTGGAGGTGTGTTGGGTCATTGTCCTGTTGAAAAACAAATGACAGTCCTGCTAAGCCCAAATCAGATGGGATGGCGTATCGCTGCAGAATGCTATTGTAGCCGTGCTGGTTAAGTGTGCTTTGAATTCGAAATAAATCACAGACGGTGTCACCAGCAAAGCACCATAACACCTCCTCTCCTACTCTGCGTCTCACAAAGACACGCTGGTTGGAACCAAAAATCTCAAATTTGGACTCCAGACCAAAGGACACATTTCCACCGGTCTAATGTCCATTGCTCGTGTTTCTTGGCCCAAACAGGTTTCTTCTTCTTATTGGTGTCCTTTAGTAGTGGTTTCTTTACAGCAATTCGACCATGAAGGCCTGATTCACACAGTCCCCTCTGAACAGTTGATGTTGAGATGTGTCTGTTACTTGAAGTCTGTGAAGCATTTATTTGATTTGTTTAACACTTTTTTTGGTTACTACATGATTCCATATGTGTTATTTCATAGTTTTGACGTCTTCACTATTATTCTACAATGTAGAAAATAGTAAAAAAAATAAAGAAACACCCTTGAACGAATAGGTGTGTCCAAATTTTTGACTGGTAGTGTATATATCTCTCTTGAGGGGGCAGACTCAGGAGAGGACTGTTCTATGGTATGTACGCCATACCTTCTGGTCATGGTAAAGGCCCAGAGAGCCAAGTATACCGTAGGCCATTAAAACCCCTAGGTTTGGCCCGTAGCCTTTCTGTTTTGATAATACTGCATTAGGCGTGTATATATATTAATCTGCGTCGTTGTGGAATATATGAAGTAACTCCAAACCTTGCTGCAGCAACGACATCCACTAATCGTCCTCCTTTCTGGAGGATTATCCTAAGCTTGCCACATCAATGAACGATACTAATTTTCTACTCAATGGTCTTCCTCCTAACAGACAGTGAGGATGAGGATGAGCGCCCTGCCCGGAGGCGTCGCCTGGCTGAGCGGGCTGCAGAGGGGACCGGGGTGGAAGGAGAGGACGAAGAGATGATCGAGAGCATCGAGAACCTGGAGGACATGAAGGTAAGGAAAGATGGTGGTTTTAATTACCTTTTCATTTTATTATCTGTGTATTTTTTCAGATTATTATTATTATTAATTTATTTCCCTGTGAAGTCCATTAATATTGCTACCTTTTTTAATGAAATGTGGTATACAAATATATGGCCTCCCGAGTGGCGCAGTGGTCTAAGGCCGCTAGAGATCCTGGTTCGAATCCAGGCTCTGTCGTAGCCAGCCGCGACCGGGAGACCCATGGGGCGGCGCACAATTGGCCCAGCGTCGTCCAGGGTAGGGGAGGGAATGGCCGGCAGGGATGTAGCTCAGTTGGTAGAGCATGGCGTTTGCAACGCCAGGGTTGTGGATTCGATTCCCACGGGGGGCCAGTATGAAAAAAATAAAATAAATAATGTATGCATTCACTAACTGTAAGTCGCTCTGGATAAGAGCGTCTGCTAAATGACTAAAAAGTAAATAAAGATTGGTTGGTTGGTTGCAGGGTCACTCAGTCAGGGAATGGGTGGTCATGGCCGCTCCGCGTCTGGAGATCTACCACCGCTTCAAGAACTTCCTGCGCACCCACGTGGATGAGAACGGACACAACGTGTTCAAGGAGAAGATCAGCGACATGTGTAAAGGTATTCAATAAAAATACTATACTCATCTATCTGGAACTTCTCACAGACAACAAGGACAGGCTGGTGTGAGGACCTAGCAGCCAGGGAGCACTTCCTGCCTGAGGCCCCTACTGAGATGTGGGGAAAAAAATACAAAACATTTTTTTATTATGTATTTAAATAACCAATGATAATGTGTTTTTAAACCTTCCAGAGAACAAGGAGAGTCTGGTGGTGAACTACGAGGACCTAGCAGCCAGGGAGCATGTCCTGGCCTACTTCCTGCCTGAGGCCCCTACTGAGATGTTGAAGATATTTGACGAGGCAGCCAAGGAGGTGGTCCTGGCCATGTACCCCAAATACGACCGCATCGCCCACGAGATCCACGTCAGGATCTGCAACCTGCCCCTGGTCGAAGAGCTGAGATCCCTCAGGTAAATACGGATAGGAAATGATCATGTGTCTTCCATGATTTTTTAAAAAGTAGACTCAGCGATACAAAGTAGGCATTAGATTGCGCCGACTTCTGCAACAACAAAGACGGAGGCTAATCTCCTCTACAGCTATTATTTGACCCTGCTGGTCATCTATGAAGGTTTGAACATCTTGAAGAACTATCTGGCCTTAACTCCAAACTCTTATAATCTCCACCCGGCACAACCAGAAGAGGACTGGCCACCCCTCAGAGCCTGCTTCCTCTCTAGGTTTCTTCCTAGGTTCCTGCCTTTCTAGGGAGTTTTTCCTAGCCACCGTGCTTCTACATCTGCATTGCTTGCTCTTTGGGGTTTTTAGGCTGGGTTTCTGTATAAGCACTTTGTGACATCTGCTGATGTAAAAAGGGCTTTATAAATGTGAATTGAGGTAGAACATTAGAGCGACGCGAACTCCCATGCACACAGGCAGATACTCTGTGGGGGGTGCAGCCTCTTGCATCATTCCCTCTGTAGGACTAATAGGATTTATTTGCCTCTTTCCAATACGTGATCCTTAGTTTCTTCCTGTTCTCCTCTCCAGACAACTCCACCTGAACCAGTTGATCCGTACCAGTGGAGTGGTGACCTGCTGTACAGGTGTTCTACCCCAGCTGGGCATGGTCAAGTACAACTGTAACAAGTGTAACTTCATCATGGGGCCCTTCTTCCAGTCTCAGAACCAGGAAGTGAAGCCAGGGTCTTGCCCAGAGTGCCAGTCCTTCGGCCCCTTTGACATCAATATGGAGTTGGTGAGTCAGTCGACCAATACATATGCTCTAAGGTAGTGGACCAATAGCAATACAGAATCTAGGTGAGTGGACCAATAGAAATTGAGAATCTAATGAGAACGAGGAAGTGATGCCGGAATCCTGCCGAGTGCCAGTCGACCAATCAGGCTCTTGACACGTACGACCCTGGTGACTTGATTTTCATCCTGGCACCCTTCCCACTATTTCTCTGATTATTTTTTTTTATAAATACAGAAAGAAAAAGTGGAATAATAATACTTTTTCCTTCCGCAGACTGTGTACCAGAACTACCAGCGAATCACCATCCAGGAGAGCCCTGGGAAGATCGCCGCTGGCCGCCTCCCACGCTCCAAAGATGCCATCCTGTTGGCTGACCTGGTGGACCAATGCAAACCTGGAGACGAAATAGTGAGTGACTCCTAACAGAACTAACCTTTTGTAGTTCTCAACAGCGTAGGGTACAGTGCCATTATCTGCTAGTGTGATGTACAGGGACTTGAACTCCATTTTCAAGTGTGGTTTCAGAGGTAGATGTCAAACAACATTGTACCCCATTTTTGAACATTCATACGTTTTGTTCATACTAGTAAAAATACCAAGGCACTCTTCATATTTGGGGCAAAAGTTAAAAAGCCTTTAAGTTGTCATCTTTTATATTATTCTCCCAAGTCTAACTCCTCTTTTCCTCCAGGAACTGACGGGCATCTACAACAACAACTATGACGGCTCTCTGAACATGGCCAACGGCTTCCCAGTGTTTGCTACGGTCATCATGGCCAATCATATCGCTCGTAGAGACAACAAAGTGGCCGTGGCCGAGCTCACTGACGAGGACATCAAGGCCATCGTGGCGCTGTCCAAGGACGAGCGAATCGGAGAGAGGGTGAGTTAGGAAGACCCTGCTGAGACTACACTATATACAGAGCATTAGGAAAGTATTCAGACCCCTTGACTTTTTCCACATTTTGTTACGTTACAGACTTATTCTAAAATTGATTAAATTGTTTTTTTCCCCTCATCAATCTACACACAACACCCCATAATGACAAAGCAAAAACACGTTTTTAGAAGTGTTTGCCAATTGAATAAAAAATAATATATATCACATTTACATAAGTATTCAGACCCTTTACTCAGTACTTTGTTGAAGCGCCTTTGGCAGCGATTACAGCCTCAAGTCTTCTTGGGTATGACGCTACAAGCTTGGCACACCTGTATTTGGGGAGTTTCTCCCGTTCTTCTCTGCAGATCCTCTCAAGCTCTGTCAGGTTGGATGGGGAGCGTCGCTGCACAGCTATTTTCAGGTCTCTCCAGAGATGGAAAAAGTCAAGGGGTCTGAATACTTTCCGAAGTCACTGTATATACAAAAGTATGTGGACACCCCTTCAAATGAGTAGTTTTGGCTATTTCAGCCACATATAATCGAGCATACATGCAATCTCCATAGACAAACATTGGCAGTAGAATGGCCTTACTGAAGAGCTCAGTGACTTTCATCGTGGCACCGTCCGTCATAGGATGCCACCTTTCCAACAAGTCAGTTCCTCAAATTTCTGCCCTGCTGGAGCTGTTATTGTGCTGACGTTGCTTCCAGAGGCAGTTTGGATCTCGGTAGTGAGTGTTGCAACCAAAGACAGATGATTTTTAGGCGCTACACGCTTCACCACTCGCCGGTCCTGTTCTGAGCCGGTTCGTGGCTGAGCCGTTGTTGCTCCTAGACGTTTCCACTTCACAATAACAGCACTTACAGTTGACCGGGGCAGCTCTAGCAGGGCAGAAATTTGAGGAACTGACTTGCTGGAAAGGTGGCCATCCTATGACGGTGCCACGTTGAAAGTCACTGAGTTCTTCAGTAAGGCCATTCTACTGCCAATGTTTGTCTATGGAGATTGCATGGCGGTGTGCTTGATTTTATACACCTGTCAGCAACGGGTGTGGCTGAAATAGCCGAATCCACTAATTTGAAGGGGTGTCCACATACTTTAGTATATATGCTGCATCTGAGTACGCAATTTTCGGTGACCTCTTTTGGCTCGTGGGCGCTACTTTCAGAATTACTGGCTAGAAGGTAAACAAAATAATATTTGTCTTGCAGCTCAGTATGTAAAGCAAATGTTGGTTGTCATTACCCGTAGCTAGATGGGCTTTAAGGAACTCCTTTTCTAGTCGTTGTTTTCGTTCCTCGTATCATTAATATTCCCATTAATCATCCCCTGGTCTGTCTCCTGTCTCCTCTGCAGATCTTTGCCAGTATCGGCCCCTCCATCTACGGCCATGAGGACATCAAGAGAGGCCTGGCTCTGGCTCTGTTTGGTGGAGAGCCCAAGAACCCAGGTTGGTGGACAATAGAGAAGATAATTCCTGCGTCCCCAATTCTGTACTCTTTTCCCTGAAGTGTGCACCACTCGTATGCTTTTTAAATCCCTGTGGTGTAGTGCACAAGTGCACACTTCAGGGGAAAGTGATGGAGGATTGGGAGCAGAGTTAGTTTACTGACTACACAACCTGACTAAAGGAATTATAACGTGTAACAGTATTTACCTTGCTCTCTGTGTTCCAGGTGGGAAGCACAAGGTACGTGGGGACCTCAACGTGCTCTTGTGCGGTGACCCCGGTACGGCCAAGTCCCAGTTCCTGAAGTACGTGGAGAAGGTGGCCAGCAGAGCGGTGTTCACCACAGGCCAGGGAGCTTCCGCTGTGGGCCTGACCGCCTACGTACAGAGACACCCGGTCACCAGGGAGTGGACCCTGGAGGCTGGGGCTCTGGTGTTAGCGGACAGAGGGGTTTGTCTCATCGACGAGTTTGATAAGGTGAGGGTGATTCTTTTATTTTTATACCCATTAGCTGATGCCTTAGTGACCGTTTTTGGGAGCGTGTGATATTCACATCTCTCATGAGTATGGCCGGGAGTCTTTTTCTGGTCAGGATGGGAGTCTTTTCTGATCTATAACATCTAATTGGGGCCATGAGATTTCCCTGAACATGTGACCTGACCAGGTAAAAACTCTTTGCCCCACTCAAGATGTGGGAAACAGTATGTTGTTTAAAAAATATCTCTCCTCTCCAGATGAACGATGCAGACAGGACCAGTATCCACGAAGCCATGGAACAGCAGAGCATCTCCATCTCCAAGGCTGGCATCGTCACCTCGCTCCAGGCACGCTGCACTATCATCGCTGCTGCCAACCCTATTGGTGGTCGCTACGACCCGTCTCTGACCTTCTCTGAGAACGTGGATCTGACCGAGCCCATCGTGTCTCGTTTTGACGTCCTGTGTGTCGTCAGAGATACTGTGGACCCAGTGCAGGTAACGCTGCATATCAACTAGCTTCTGAAAGCTAACTTCGTTCATTACAGGATTGTAATATAACTACTGTCGTTTAATTGATACTCTACAAAACCCTGACAACTCGACATCTGTCATCAGACCTTAACCTCTCTCTCTCTCTCTCTCTCTGCACTACGATAGGATGAGATGCTGGCTCGTTTCGTGGTGGGCAGCCACATCAAGCACCACCCCAGCAACAAGGAGGGTGGCGTGGCTGGCTTGGAGGAGGTGGTTCTGCCCAACACCACAGACGTGCCTCCTATCCCCCAGGAGCTGCTGAGGAAATACATCATGTACTCCAAGGAAAGGGTCCGGCCCAAACTCAACCAGATGGACCAGGATAAGGTGGCTCGCATCTACAGCGACCTGCGCAAGGAGTCCATGGTGAGTCTGACTCGACTGGTGTTGCCACACTTCCAAAAGTCTTGTTAACTTGGCTATTCAGAACAAAACGTGAGAGAGCTGGATATCAAGGTTTCTGTGTGAACCGGGGTTTGAATCCTGCGTACCACAATACTGTGTTAGCCAGGTGAGCTTAAACCTGTCCCTATGCTCAGGGATCTAATGCGACTCATGTGCCAGACCTGAACAGCCATAATGCAAAATGGAATGTTGTTGACTTCAAGAATTTAAATGAATTTAAGAATGGATCTTAACCCTGGAATCAATAGTAATTAATAGCGTTGTCTTCTCCTAGTCTCCTGTAAGGAGAGCATCCTAGCTCAGTATATTGGGAGTGCTGTAGGATCAATAATGAGTCATAGCTGAACGTCTCCTCCTGTAGGTGGCTGATCCATGTTAGAGTAATGTCTTGTGTGTGTATTATTAAATCCATATATTACTATTGCGTAGGCGACAGGCAGCATCCCCATCACGGTGCGTCACATCGAGTCTATGATCCGCATGGCGGAGGCCCACGCCAGGATGCACCTCCGAGACTACGTGGTGGAGGATGACGTCAACATGGCCATCCGAGTCATGCTGGAGAGCTTCATCGACACGCAGAAGTTCAGCGTCATGAGGAGCATGAGGAAGGTGAGCGCAGCAACGGAGTCCTCCAATAAAGTTAACTTTCTCGTGTCCGGGAAACCAGTCTGAGGAGTTTGGTGTAAGAGGAGGCTTGCTAGACGGCTCCCTCTAGTGACATCCTGAAACCAACCCAGTCCCCCCCCCCCCCCCCCGTTACCTGGCGTTCAGACAGGACAACTGGCTGCTGTTTATTCTGAAACCAACTTCCTTCCCTCTTTTCTCCCCCACCCCCCCCCCCTCATCCTCTTCCCTCTAGACGTTTGCCCGTTACCTGGCGTTCAGAAAAGACAACAATGAGTTGCTGCTGTTCGTCCTGAAGCAGCTGGTGTCGGAGCAGGTGGCGTATCAGAGGAACCGATACGGAGCCCAGCAGGACACCATCGAGATCCCAGAGAAAGACCTGGTGGACAAGGTAATAAGCGTCTCATCATGGTGTAAAATGTCTTCCTTTCCCGGGGTAACGTACTACACCAAGCCGCTAACCACGGTGCCATCGCAATAGTCCTGAGATGGTTTTTTAAATCTCTAACCGTTGGCTTGATCTCAATAATGTAAATTTGTTTCTATTCAATACTGATATAGTTTATGAGTTGTTCGTGTCGCCCTCTCTCCTTCCCCAGGCCAGACAGATCAGCATCCACAACCTGTCAGCGTTCTATGACAGCGAGGCGTTCCGATCCAACAGGTTCTCTCACGACATGAAGAAGAAGTTGATCCTGCAGCAGTTCTAAAACGTGTTGTTGCCAGGGGAAAAAGACTAGCCTCTTGGTTGTGTTCTAAATGCACCCCTATCCCCTATGTAGTGCACTACTTTTGATCAGGGCTCATAGAGTACCATTTTGGACATAGCCTGTCTGGATGTGTAAATAATTGTAAATGTTTGTCACCCTGTTGGAGAAAAGGAAGAATCCTTATATGGACTAAATTGGCCAATTTTGTTATCAATGTTACAGTCTCTCGGTTAATGTACCTAGCCTATACCTTCATTCTAAACGTTTCTACTTTTGAATCTTGGAACACAACTTGTGGTGTTATCAAAAATCAAGTGTTTTTGTAATGGACTTTTTGATGTTTAGCTGTAAACTGTGTTAATGTTTTGTAAGTAAAAAAAAAAAAAAAACTAGTTGTGGATAGTCTAACCTGAAATCACATATTATCTTCTTGACACTGTAATATGGTGTTTTCATCTGGGCCAATGAGTTTCTGATGACCGTCATGGTTTCCTGTTCTGGTCTGTGACTAGAATTCTGGGATAATGTTTTGAGAATACATGACATTTTGTAGAAGCTTGTCCATCACCCTGAATGTACTGAAGACATGGTCAGAAAGTGTGCTTAGAAGGACCCAAATTGACGTGTGGCCTGCTGTAAAGAGCTGGTGCGTCAACTGTTATGTTAAGGAAGTCTAGAGTTTTTGCTCGCCTGAGTTCAAATACCTCATGATAAACTGCAAATTACACCTTTTCTTACGCACACCTTTCCTACGCACTTAGTAGTTGGTATTCAGGCTTACCTTTATGAAGGTGCGTAACGGGCTTTGCAGGCGTAGTTCCCTTGCGCGCACTGAATACATTTTATAACTGTAATTCAACCCCTGAAAACTCCCACTTGCTTACCAACAGATTTTTTTTTTTCTCTTGGGAGTTTTCATTCAATAAGGTTCATTACGTTTATCTTCAGCCTTCCCTTCAAATACGGTGCACCTTTTTTTAATGAGAATTCTGTTGAAGGACTAGAATACGTAAGAACTGGTTTGGGAAATAGAGATCAATGAAAGAAAACCATCTAAATATATACATATTCTCTGTTTCAACACCAATTTGGTAGATTAAAAAAAAAAAAAAATCATCTTGTTCATTTATTTAGGCACATTTCTGGGTTAGGAAAGGATGTATGAATAACTGGTTTGGACAGCCTTGACGCAAGAAATATAGTGAATCAAAAAAGTGGTTTGATTCGTTATGAAAATTGCCACATTCAGTTCTATAACCCCATGGTAATGTTGGAAGATTAGTGTACGTATAATTTGAATAGTGTGCAATAGTAGGCTATACCTTCCTCTGTTGCCTGCACTAACCATGGAACTGTGTGATGACACGGCCAAGTATTGCGGCAAGCGTCGGGTTCAAACTGTTATGGCTTGGTCTGCGCTCCTCTCCATAACGATTTAATTAGCCTACATGTCTTTAAAGAAAAATATATCAACTGTTACTCCGTTTTTGTGATTTATACTTTTACTTTTGATACTTAAGTATATTTTAGCAATTCCATTTACTTTTGATAATGAAGTACATTTAAAACCAAATACTTTTAGACTTACTCAAGTATTTTACTGGGTGACTTTCACTTTTACTTGAGTCATTTTCTTTTAAGGTATCTATACTTTTACTCAAGTATGACAGTTAGGTATTTTTTCCCACCGCTGCTGTTACTAATGATCCTCTTCAACAACCAAATGGCCGTGAAAGCATTTAGAGGAAGCAAATTAAGGCACAGTGGCTTGCGAAAGTATTCATCCCATTTGGCATTTTTCCTATTTTTTTGCCTTACAACCTGGAATTAAAATGGATTTTTTTGGGGTTTGTATCATTTGATTTACACAACATGCCTACCACTTTGAAGATGCAAAATATATTTGATTGTGAAACAAACAATAAATAAGACGACAACATAAAACTTGAGCGTGCATAACTATTCACCCCCCCCCCCCTAAATCAATACTTTGTAGAGCCACCTTTTGCAGCAATTACAGCTGCAAGTCTCTTGGGGTATGTCTCTATAAGCTTGGCACATCTAGCCACTGGGATTTTTGCCCATTCTTCAATGCAAAACTGCTCCAGCTCCTTCAAATTGGATGGGTTCTGCTGGTGTACGGCAATCTTTAAGTCATACCACAGATTCTCAATTGGATTGAGGGCTGGGCTTTGACCAGGCCATTCCAAGACATTTAAATGTTTCCCCTTAAACCACTCGAGTGTTGCTTTAGCAGTATGCTTAGTGTCATTTTCCTGCTGGAAGGTGAACCTCCGCCCCAGTCTGAAATCTCTGGAAGACTGAAACAGGTTTCCCTCAAGAATTTCCCTGTATTTAGCGCCATCCATCATTCCTTCAATTCTGACCAGTTTCCCAGTCCCTGCTAATGAAAAACATCTGCACAGCATGATGCTGCCACCACCATGCTTCACTGTGGGGATGGTGTTCTCGTGGTGATGAGAGGTGTTGGGTTTGCGCCAGACAGCATTTTCCTTGATGGCCAAAAAGCTCAATTTTAGTCTCATCTGACCAGAGTACCTTCTTCCATATGTTTGGGGAGTCTCCCACATGCCTTTTGGCGAACACCAAACGTGTTTGCTTATTTTTTTCATTAAGCAATGGCTTTTTTCTGGCCAGTCTTCCGTAAAGCCCAGCTCTGTGGAGTGTACGGCTTAAAGTGGTCCTATGGACAGATACTCCAATCTCCGCTGTGGAGCTTTGCAGCTCCTTCAGGGTTATCTTTGGTCTCTTTGTTGCCTCTCTGATTAATGCCATCCTTGCCTGATCCGTGAGTTTTGGTGGGCGGCCCTCTCTTGGCAGGTTTGTTGTGGTGCCATATTCTTTTCATTTTTTAATAATGGATAGAATGGTGCTCCGTGGGATGTTCAAAGTTTCAGATATTTTTTTATAACCCAACCCTGATCTGTACTTCTCCACAACTTTGTCCCTGACCTGTTTGGAGAGCTCCTTGGTCTTCATAGTGCCGCTTGCTTGGTGGTGCTCCTTGCTTAGTGGTGTTGCAGACTCTGGGGCCTTTCAGAACAGGTGTATATTTGCATTTACATTTTAGTCATTTAGCAGACGCTCTTATCCAGAGCGACTTACAGTTAGATATACTGAGATCATGTGACACTTAGATTGCACACAGGTGGACTTTATTTAACTAATTATGTGACTTCTGAAGGTAATTGGTTGCACCAGATCTTATTTAGGGGCTTCATAGCAAAGGGGGTGAATACATACATATTATTATTATTATTTTTTATTTTATTTTTTGAAACAAGTTATTATTTTCATTTCACTTCACCAATTTGGACTATTTTGTGTATGTCCATTACATGAAATCCAAATAAAAATCCATTTAAATTACAGGTTGTAATGCAACAAAAATAGAAAAACACCAAGGGGGATGAATACTTTTGCAAGGCACTGTAGTTGTATCCCATGTAGAGATAGGGTTGTAAGTCACTGTAAATGAAACAATGTAATTAAATGGAATGATAATGTAGGCTATGCCAACTGAAAGACCTGGGGCCCTACTACAGACCGCTATATCGGTCCTCTAATACAGGACTAGTAAAGGCCCAGTGCTTTATTACTTTATCCCACGGCTATGGGTGTATCTGTAGACACAGCTCCGCCACGCCTTCATTTCTTAGATCTCCACCCCGAACGAATAGCAGGTGGTTAGCTTAAATTCAAAGATCAGAATACGCACGGAGAGAAAAGTGCATGAAAAGAGAACGTTCCATTTACGCATGCTTATCTCGGGTCGGAAACTGAAATCCGTTTTACCTCATTTTTACCAGCATGTCACCTCTGCAACTAGAGGCGACAAAACTCTAGATCACTTTTACTCCACACACAGAAACGCATCCAAGGCCCTCCCTCACTCTCCCTTTGGCAAATCAGACCATAACTCTATCCTCCTGCTTCCTGCTGACAAGTTAAAACTCAAACAGGAAGTACCAGTGATACGTTCAATAAGGAAGTGGTCCGATGAAGCGGATGCTAAGCTACAGAACTGTTTCACTAGCACAGATAGGCATGTGTTCCGGGATTAATCCGATAACATTGAGTTTACCACATCAGTCACACTCCACATTGCCCTCAGCAACCTGGACAAAAGTAATACCTATGTAAAAAATGCTGTTCATTAAATACAGCTCAGCATTCAACACCATAGTCTCCTCCAAGCTCATCACCAAGACCCTGGGACTGAACACCTCCCTCTGCAACTGTATCCTAGACTTCCTGACGGGCCGCCCCCAGGCGGTGAGGGTAGGCAACAACACATCCGCCAACACATTAGTCCCCTCCAGTCCTCCCTGTTCACCACGCCTACATGGCATGACTCCAACGCCATCATCAAGTTTGCTGACGACATGATGGTAGTAGGACTGATAACCGATGACGACGAGGCAGCCTATAGGGAGGAGGTCAGAAACTTGGCAGTGTGGTGCCAGGACAACAAGCTCTCCCTTAATGTCAGCAAGACAAATGAGCTGATCATGGACTACAGGAAACGGAAGGGAGCGCATGTCCCCATCCACATCGACGGGGCTGTAGTGGAGCAGGTCGAGAGCTTCAAGTTCCTCAGTGTCCACATCACTAAGGAATTATCATGATCCACACACACCAACACAGTCGTGAAGAAGGGCACTACAGCACCTCTTTCCCCTCAGGAGGCTGAAAAGATTTGGCATGGGCCCTCATATCCTCAAAAAGTTCTACAGCTGCACCAATGAAAGCATCTTGACTGGCTGCATCACCGCTTGGTACAGCAACTGCAAGGCACCGCAAAACGCTACAGAGGGTAATGAATACAGCCCAGGACATCACTCTGCCATCCAAGACCTAGTGATGTCAGAGGAAGGCCCAAAAAACGATCAAAGACTCCAGCCACACAAGCCATACTGTTGTCTCTGCTACCGCACGGCAAGCGGTACCAGTGCACCAGGTGTGGAACCAACAGGACCCTGAACAACTTCTACCCCCAAGCCATAAGACTGCTAAATAGTTAACTAAACAAGCTAAACAAGACTGTTAAATAGCTAATCCAATGGCTACCC